AATTTTTTGAAAATTTGTGATTTTTATTTTTTAATCCATGATCGAATTTTTTTTGTAATCCATGATAGAATTTTTAAAATATTTGTGATTTTTTTTTTTTAATCCATGATCGAATTTTGTTTTGTAATCCATGATAGAATTTTTTGAAAATTTGTGATTTTTTTTTTTAATCCATGATCGATTTTTTAGAAAATTTGTTTTTTTTTTTTTAAATTCCATATTATTCAAAGAGAAAATGAGAGAGATGATGATTCTGAGGTCACCCTATCCCAGCCATATTATTCACATATTGAGTCCCAACAGCAACAGTGTAGGGATGAGCACGACCATGCTGGTGAGCATGAAGGATGGACAATCTTCGGGGATTTTAGATTGGAAACACAACAAAACACTAACACTCAGTGATTTGGGAATAGTCAGACGCCTGCTAATATCGATGATTCGTTTTTAGATCGAATCAATGAATTGTTAAACGAATTCAATCAATGGCACCAGCGTGACCAAGAAGAACAATAACGTCGTCTATCATTTTATTTTTAGATCATATGTTACTAATTTTATGCTTTATTGTAGTCCATGTATGTTGATATACTTATTCCATGATAATTATATGTTTATCCTTTTGTGTGATGTAAATTAAATGCTGAATGGCGGTTCATGCAAGGAAAGAACATATCATTATTCGTATATTCATTCAAAAACATGAAAATTCTTAATGGAGTACCCTCATTTCTTATTGAATTCCTAAAAAACAATATTTATAATAAATTTTAATAATTTTTTTGGATTTTTTTTAAACTTTATTCTGACCGATTCATCCGATTCTCGATCCGAATCGCCGATTCGTCGATCCAGATGGATTTTTTGGAAACCCGATCCGAATCACCGATCCGTTTTTTAAACCATTGGGGGTGAGTGATTCGTTCACTACAATTATGGCTTTCGTCTTTTCCTGCTTTTATTGTCTCTGACACGCTCCACGAGCACCTTGTGACCTTTATGAAGGGTAGGCAGGCAGGCAGGCAATTGTGCAATCCTTCCAATCTCGTGTGTAAGCGCATTCAAGTATTACATGTTCGTACATATGTGTTCGAATTACTGGGCGGGCCTTGTGCTCGGGCCATGCCTGAGCTGAGCACTCGGTTTGAGTCTGGAGAATTTGGCCCTAATTAGGCCGAGTAATTTAGTAGCAAGAGAAGTGTTAACGTATTTGAAAAAAAATTAATAAAATCCTAAAGATAGGAAACCTATGTTTTAAGTACAGTTAAACAAAATACAGGTAAAAAAAGTAGTAAAATATGGATTTTGAAAAGGTTAATTTGTGATGGGGTATTTTCAATATAAATCCAAAAAAAAGGAAAAATATAAAAAAAAGTATTCATGGCTAAAATATTTTGCAATTCTTGCCAAAATAATAAAACACAACAATATATATATATATATTACTTTTTAAAAGAAAAATATCCGAATTGGACACCCAACATGAGATAGTTGAGGCCCAGTTACTCCAACTTGCCCAAGTTTCTCGTCTCATTCTTTCACATCTATACATCTCTTTACAGGCAAGCGCTCTTGCTATTTTTAAAAAGGCTGGTCCACCCACTCGGCAACTAAAAAATAACTCTGCCATTGTTTAAAAATTAAGAACTTTGGCTGGTCAGCCCACTCCAAACTGAAAAATAGGATTGGTAATGGGCCAGGTGGCCTGGCTTAGATCCTGAAAAACCAAAAGCATGGCCCATAAAATGTGGCCTGAGGCTGGGACCATCACAGGGCCGGTTTGTTATTGTCTTTGTGTTTTAGTAGGCCCCGGCACCCGTATTTCCTTTTTTTACTTTTTATTTTTTATAAGGTTTTGATGGTCACAATGATGGATGATGATGAGTATTATTATTAATATTATTAAGGCTAGGCCCCGTCCGGATCAAGCTGAAAGGGCCTTGCCACTAGGCAGGGTTAGGGCCAAGCCCACCTATGGCCAACCCTTCTAAAAAACAAGAAACAAATAAAGTAAAAATTAGAAATTTTTTTAAAATGGATCAAGTTTCTATAAGGCCTAGGCTTTATGAAAATAAAATAAAGCCTCACTTTAAATCCTCATCCCAAAAGCATTTTCAGCAATGGAAATCTCCATGATAGATCTAAAATCAATTTCCAACACTGACAATAAGATTTGAAACTAAAAAAAAATACAGATAATTTGTTACCCATATACACTATTTATAGAGCTTTGAATCCTAATTTTTTTCACAACTATAATGCTCACACTAAGATGATCGATATAAAAGCTTTTCAATGCTCGAATTTCGATGAGTTATGAGGTGAGACTTTACTTATTTTGATAGGGCTCCAGAGCTTTTTTTTTTTTTTTTTGAGCGTTAACATTGACTTTCATTAAGAAGGAGTAAAAGCTCAGAGTTACAAGTTGTTACATAGAGAGTAACAAGGGAGAAAAGAAGAAGAGAGGGAAGAGAGAAGGGAGAAGAGAAGAAGGCATCAAAGATGATAGGGCTACAGCCCTATCAAACCATTTTCCTTAGTCTAAAAGTAGATGTAAATAAAAATAAAAAGGAAATAAAAAAATAAAAGAACATTTGGGAATGAAGAGACAGAAAAATAGTGAAAACAAGAAAAACACATAATCGATCCTGAATGTTTTTTTTTTTTTAATTAAAAAAAACGTTGTTATATCTTTTGTAGATCGACATGATAGAGACACATTGCAACAAATTTGAACGACTTTAGTAAAAAATAAAGGCGAAATCAAATATTTTTATTCCGAGATAAAAAATTCCAGAATTTTATCTTGTCCAACAATGGCATTGATCCAACAAATCACGATATGGGTTTTCTAAAGGGATCAGACACAAACAATCTAAAACTATTTCAAAATTGTTTTGTTGTGATTTAAGAGAGAAATTCAGAGAAGGGTGGATCGAGTTTTTATGGCTGAAAATTCATGATATTTCTATGGAAATATCTCCTAAAAATTGAATTTTCATGAGACTAAATTTATTTATGGATAAAAATAGATCAATCGGTTTTCAAATACATTTATTTGGGGTTTCAGATAGATTGGATCAAATATTTGACCCAAAAAAAAAAAAAAGGTCATAAATCTATTTATTTTTAAGTTTTATTTTCTATGCAAAATGAGGGTAAAATTTGATTCGCCCGAGTGTTTGAACAGGCCCGATACTCTTGGATCAGGTTCAACTCGAGCGATTCTGAATTGTACAAATTTTATAAACATTGGCTCAAATTAAGAGATTGGATAAACAACGCTTTTTTTAGTTATTTATTTCATAAAAATTAACTTAGTTTTAAATATTAATTTTTATATAGTATAAGATGCGCACCTTGTGCCCCTATGGAACCGCCCAAAGTCCTAACTTGCCCCTTTTATTTTTTGAGTTTCTCTCGGTTTATATTTCCACATTTTCGTAGTACAAATGTCCAAACTCTGTTCCAACGGTTGTTTTGCATCGACCAATTTGAAATTCTGAAACCCAAAAACATAACTTCTCATTTTTGCACGCTTTTCTCTGTATTCCTACATGATTCAGTGATCTTCTATCAATTATTCGTTCTCTCTGTGCACAAATTCTTCTGAGCTTTGGATTGAAAAATTTGAAACTTTATTTACATAGAATTCACGAGCAAAAATTAGGAGTAGAGATGGTGAGAGAGACATTTGTTCAGAGCGTTGAAGCATTGAACTTGAGCTCCATGGACGTCACGCGCAAAAGTATCGTCGCTCCAAAAGGGAAGAGAGAGAAAGGAAGAAGAGAGAGAAAGGGGGGAGAAAACCACCTTTTCCTTTTAGAGAGAGAAAGAGGGATGACTCGGTTTCCGGTTCAATGGGGGAGATGTGTGCGAGGAATGAGGAGAGAGATGAATGATTCCGATACAGGTTGAACCTGAAGCTTAAATGTCGGGAGAAAGGCACAAGCGGGTGGTGGATTGGCTTTCCACGAATACAGTGGCTGCTGATTATGTATGATGAACATGAATATTATACACAGTAGATACCTCAATCTCCACAAAACCAAGGAACCGTAATTTTAGAGACGGAGAAAATTCGTAATTTTGAAGAGAGATTTCGGAGAGGGGATTCACGAAGAGAGATTTCGGAAAGGGTGTGAATCCCTCATTTTGGAGAGAGAGACGGACCCATTTGCAGAAGTGGGGAAGAGAACCCAATTTCACAGAGCCTATTTTAGAGAGAAACGAGAGAGACGCCATTTGCAGAATTGGGGAAGAGAATCCAATTTCGTAGAGCCGAGAGAACCCAATTTCAGAATTGGTCAAGAGAACCAAATTTCAAACAGCAAGCCCAAGAATGAATCCAAATGGAGGTTGCAGAGATTAGAGCAACACACTGGGAAATCTAGACAGAGATGGAAAACAATCTAGTGAAAGAAAGTTCAGCTATAACGAACATGACAAGGCCTTTCAGTTAATGGAAGGTCGAGAAGAAGACAAGCTCTCAGAACTCGTCAATGCGTTCAAGTCATGGATACACCGGACGACCGATCCATCTCGAGACTTTTGGATGCCCGACCACACCTGTCGTGTCTGCTATGAATGCGATGCTCATTTCACCATTTTCAATCGACGCCACCACTGTCGAAACTGTGGCCGAATCTTTTGCAATAAATGCACCTCAAATTCGATTCCTTCTCCAATTGCAGGGGAAAGGATTAGGCTTTGCAACTATTGCTTTAAGCAAAGGCAGAATGACTCCTCTCCATTATTGGGTTTTCAGTTGCCTAGATCATCGACATCTTACTCTTCGGTGGAAAAGAGTGGAATCGATAGCGTTTCGGTGGCTTCAGATCCAAGGTCGCCAGCTTCTATTGCAGAATACCCATTGCCGAACAATTACAGTCGCTTCTCTGCAAACAGGTATGATTGCATGTTGTTGAATTGAGTATTTAGACAGACAGATGGGTTTTGCATCTTATGCATTGGGCCTGCCTCCTTTGGTTGTAGGAGCGAGGAGGATGATGGTGATTCTTCTTATACCTATCATTCTGAGGGAGATTTGGTAGATATTCAGCAGCCGAGATGCTACTTAAGCTCCGCTGAATTAGACCAACAAAGCTTGTCAACCCCATCAATTTATCCAAGTGATTTTGGTCCCCTCATCTCATCTCCCAACAATAATTTTGTGGAGGAGGAAGCAAGAAATCATTCTGTTGATTTTGCTAATAAAATTGCTATAGATGAAGTGAGTCATGGGGACCTTGATAATGCCACTGATAATGTGGAGGAAGAATTGGATCTTGAGTCATCTGTATGTGGAGAGCGTACTCCAGATGACGAAGATGTTGATTTTGATAACAATGGCCTTCTTTGGCTTCCTCCTGAGCCAGATGATGAAGATGAGGAGATTGAGCCTTGCCTTCTTGATGATGATGATGATGATGATGGCATGGATCATGGCGATGGCCATATTGAGGTACCGAGGGAGCGGCCATACTTGCGATGCTCAAGCACCTTGGGTACGAAGAGGCCGAGAAATCGGGATAATTCAGGGGAAATGCATAGGAAGGCCATGAAAAGTGTGGTTGAGGGGCATTTCAGGGGCCTTATAGCTCAGCTTTTGGAGGGTGAGAACCTACCTATTGGTGAGGAAGGGGATAAAGAGAGTTGGTTGGAGATTGTCACCTCTTTGTCTTGGGAAGCTGCAACGCTTCTAAAGCCAGACATGAGCAAGGGCGGTGGCATGGATCCTGGGGGTTATGTGAAGGTCAAATGTGTGGCTTGTGGCCTTCGTAGTGAGAGGTAAGGCATCTTTCTTATTTCCCCTGGTCTTGCATATGTTGCTGTGCTTCCTTTTTGGTAAGTTTGAACTCTTCATGATTGAGTTATCCATTGATAATTCTTTTAGTGGTATGCTTCGAAATACTAAGTTGGTGTTCTTTCTTGTTCTTTTCACAATTAGATTTTTCATTGACAATATTTTTGTTGGTATTCCCAAAAAATCCTTTGTTGGTACTTGGTAGTTCTTTCGCATAATGAAGTCATTTGTTGATGATGTCTTGGTTGATATGTTTCAAAATCTCCTGATCTTCAATAACAGTCATGTATGAGCGACATCATGCTCATGAGTCAGCTTTTTTCCATTTAGTTCTACTTTTTCAGTAATTAAAATTGTAGTACATAGAAGCCTTCCATTTTGTTTGGTTCTTAAATGACAATTATGGTACTCACCAGATGGTTCATGGTCGTGAGCGGATTTGTTCGGAAGCCAAAACTGTGGCATTGCTTTTTGCAAAGCTTTTGTTTTTCTTTAATTTTTTTAAGTTATATTTGTTGGATAATTAGTTAGAACTCCACTTTTTGTTTGGGTTGTTGATGAAGCTTAGGCCATTGACAGTGAGGTGATCCAAGGGGTTGTTTGTAAGAAGAATGTGGCTCACAGACGCATGAAATCAAGGTTCAAGAATGCTCGTCTCCTTCTCCTAGGGGGAGCGCTTGAGTATCAGAGAGTCTCAAACCAGTTGTCATGTTTTGATACTTTATTGCAGCAGGTGAGTCATAACTATCCCCTCCCTCCTGATTCTTAGTAGCTACATTTGCCGATTACTATTTCTTTGTCTACATTAGTAAGCACGATTTTCTGGCTTGTATTTCTTTCTCTTTTCAGAAGTGAGATTTTCCCAATACATAGTTTTGGTAATATCAGCCAAATATCTATCACTGTTTCTGTCTGTTGCGCTATTAACTAAAATGTCCAAGAACTTTGAAATGGAACAAGGGCATTAACTGTTTCCTAAAATAAAATGTTGTGGACTATCTTGGACTGATACCTGTGCTAAGTAAGAAATACTATAGGCACGCTTTAATAATTCAAAAAAGTGTTAATTCTTCAAAGAGGGACTTTGGCACCTCTGTAGTAGTAACTAGTTACTCTAACAGATTCGTTTAGTTCTATCAATTGTTCGAAAGTTTCTTTTTTTGTTTTTTTTTGGTATTGTGATTTGTTGGCTTTATGTGGCCTTTAACGGCCTTATGAGTGCTTGTAAAATGAAATGATATAGAGGAATATGAACTCAGTGGGAGTGTGGTCCCTCGTGGACCATACTAAGTAAACGAAGGTTTGCTGATACCGTTCTGTGCTTAACGATCTAGGCAAGTCGGTTGGAAAAAATCCATGTTACCTGGGCATGAAGAACAAACCGATGAGGGTTTATGGGTTAGACCCTTGATATGGTAGGAGAACATGTTTGGATGAGTGAGCCGAGGGACTGTGTGACCCTTGTGTGTGATGGTGGCCTACAGAGACAGGGGCCAAAACCTCATCTATGTACCATCACACGGCTTGCATATCGATAAATCGTTCGGAAAAGCCAGAAATCCACCTTTTAGGGTGAAGCGTATGCATGTGCGAGAGATACCCCTATGCACCATAGAGCTGTGGTCGCATAAGGTCTTGGTGACCTTGATTTGTCTCTAAAGGAGGACCTGAAATCCACAGACTGGGATTGCGATCCCTTGGCCCATCGGCCAGACTTTGGTGACCCTCTAATGAGCCCCTGCTTGGACTGTGGGTCATGAAAAACACTGGATCGGTCTGATAAAGCAAGTGTGGTCTGTAGTCCACAATTGAAGGTGGAGTGCCCCATGATTGTTGATTCCTAAACCATATGGATCTTTTTCCCATCAAATTAATTTAATTGTGTTTGTTTTATGATGAAAATTATTTTAAGATTATTATTTGAATTTTATGAACCCATGGATATTTTATTTATAATTTTTGGATTTATAAAATTAAAGATATTGATTTTACAGTTGTTTAAATATTCAAATAATATTCTAAAATCCTTTTATTAATTTTAAATATATAAAATATCATAGAGGCCCATTGTGCACATGGGCCTGCCATATTTTTAGAAGGTGGGGCCCATGAGTGCCTCCCTTGGGTGGCATGCCCCACCCTTATTCTCTTTCCTATTTTTTGGTGATATGGCATGTGGCCATATGGTTGGAAGATATTGACTAAATATTGACTTGATATATCTTTGAAAGAGTTTGTGGAAAGATTGAATAGACTTGATATATCTTTGAAAGAGTTTGTGGAAAGATTGAATAGACTTGTGCAATTTTATGGTATGCACAATATTTTGATTAGATTTAACTTATTTAATTTCTATTGATGAGAAAATGGTTTAGGAAAAGGGGATAACGGTTCATGCACCTTCCATAATGTTGATGACCAATCTATGGAATGGATGGCTCAGATCTCTCACCCCAAAAGTCACCCTTGATCGACGGTCTATATTTAATCTCACAAGAAGAGGCAAGCCAAAGAAAACCCTAAGAAACCTTAATCTTATTCAAAGCCTATAAAAAGGGATTGTCTCTACCAAAAAATCTCTACACCTTATCTTTCTATCTCTCTCTCTTAAGAAAGTTTATCTCTCTCATGTTTGATCTCTCTCTCCCACAATGTGAAAGAACCTAAGGGTTTAGGTTATAAAGTTTTTCTCTCCTATCTCTTAAATATGGATTTATGACTAAGGGTTTTAGGGTTTAGCAAAAAGAGAATCCATCTCTCTCAAACTAGGTTATTCACCTAGGGTTTGAGTTTGTGATCAAAGGGGTTCATGTTCCATTGGTGTGGCTTAGCCGAAATTTGCTTTCCCGGTTAGAGATTGAAGCTAGACCGTTGATCTTGCGCCATCGGATGGTGGTGACTCAGTGTGGGGTGTAATAAGCCCGGTTGAGGTAATCTCCGGCACTCTTCCTTTTGTTTCTTGCAATCTTATCGTTTATTCTCAAGCATAGTGCATAGTTGTTTCAATGACATCAAGTTATTAAGATCTTGGTTTTATTGTTATGTTGATTTTATTTTAAAATTTATCTTATTATAATAGAGACCACATGTAAGTGATCTTTTGCCAAAAGAAAGAGATGAAGGAAAAAAAAAATATATATATATTCCCCAGTAAATGATCACACAGGTCTTTCTTTCATGATTACCATATCAGTTATTTCTTGTAATATAAAGTACTCTTTTTTTAATTTCTTTTGTGTTTGATTTCTTGTAATACTGTATTAAGCATGTTGTTTTTATTCACATCTTTGCAGCATCTATTTACTTCTGCTGAACTTTGCACTTTCTAACATGTTTTTCTTGGTTCCTGATGAAAGTAATTGGCTGCTTTGGATTTGCGGCATTGCCTCTTTTCAGGAAATGGATCACCTGAAGATGGCTGTTGCAAAAATAGAAGCCCACCACCCGAATCTTCTTCTGGTGGAGAAAGCTGTCTCTCGATTTGCACAAGACTATCTTTTGGCTAAAGATATAGCCTTGGTTTTGAATGTCAAAAGGCCGTTACTGGAGCGCATAGCACGGTGCACTGGTGCTCAGATTGTTCCTTCTATTGATAGTCTTTCTTCCCCAAAGTTGGGTTATTGCGAACTGTTCCATGCTGACAAGTTTTCCGAAGAGCATAAAAGCAGTGGACAAACTGGCAAAACGTTGATAAAGACTTTGATGTTTTTTCAGGGTTGCCCAAAGCCTTTGGGTTGCACGGTTGGTCTTCTACGATCTTTCTCCCAATTGTGTCCTGAATGCTCACGTTGACAGCTGAACCAATCTCATGTTTATGATTGAAATCAACCCTGTAAAATAAGTTGATTCTTGGGATCGAAATTGATATTATTTTGTCTTGTATGATAGATATACTCTTTCAAATCTGGAACACAAACCTTATTTCCATTATAAATAATGATTAAATGATAGCCATTTAACTTGTTGGAGTAAATCTTCTTTAGGTGAAAGCACCAATTATTTTGCACATGTGAATGAGCACCTCAGGAGAGTGGCTTATAGGAGCAGTTACTATTTTTTTCCTAGAAATACTTGTGGACTTGTGGCATCACAAGCGTGCATGGCTTGGTATGAGTTTCGGCAAATAGATGAACTCTTTTGGCTTGATCTGAACTCTAGGAGTGGGCCAAAGTTAAAAGTGGAAACTGAAAAAATGAGAAGTTCAGTTTGAAGTTTGATTACCTTCCCGAAGAGAATGTTGACATTATCCTTTGGGGTTTTCTTTAGATACTTGACTCATCTCAACTACTCAATGGGCTAATGCCTTTTTAGAATGCTGTTTGGATGGCTGGACTGCCTATATATAGCTGCATTCTCCAGGAAATCTATTGACAAAATGGCAATAGCTTGTGATTATTATGAAATGTAGTTGTGAGGGAAAACCAGAAACTGTAGAGCTCTTGACATTCTTAAATGTTGTCTTCTCTTTTGTAACAATAGGGTTCCTTAGGCTCTGGTCTAAGGGTATGACCCTTGACGTTCCTCCAATAATATGTGAAGCTCTACTGGTTTTTTCTTTGTTTTCTTCCTTGTAATAATGGAGCATTACAAGTTAGGAGAGCACATAACAAAAGTTTCTATGACTTGGATACTTCCTGCTATTCTTGTCTGCGAGAAGTTGTTCAGTTTGGTGCATGGCATCTAATTTGGAAGAGGAATGTAGGCTGCATAACTATTGTGGATTACAGACGACAAGATTAAGTACTTGGTTTTGAGAACATCGTATGAATTCCATTTGATACCACCTTTTGCCTATTGGCTCATCTCTTTCTTTTCTGTTCAAAAGTTTTAAGTCTGGCTGGATGATTCATCAGTTATTGTACTCATGCTTTACTATCAAGAATGCATATGAAACGCATGTGGCATGTATGTTTGTGTGTATTGGATGAGCAGTGGAATTGTAACCCTCGACATTATGTTTCAGTTTCACTCCCCTAAACCACCCCAGAAATGTATATGATTTCCATGTTTCACAAGAGTTGCTTTATGTATATAAATGGTCAACCATTTCGGTAGTAAAGACTCTGTGAGGAATCCAATGGTGTTGTCTGTATCCTGAAATGTTTATTCTTTTGCCTATATAACAAGAGGATGCATTTCCATGCCATGCTTTAGCATAGCTTGTAAGTGGCCTTATTATGCTTTATTCATTCAGACGCGTATTGTTCATTCAGAAAGCAGTTCCCTGTGTTAAATGGTAGTAGTGACACATCTCTGTGATATTTGTTTATCATTGATTCATGCTTTGAATCAGTGGACATAAGAGCATCATTAATAGAAAATATATAATGCCATCTAATCATAAGAATGATGCAATGCTGGAGAGGATGTAGATTTGAGCTTCACAAGGGCTAACTTGAAGCATTTCATTGTATTACTTTCGTGTATGAATTATTTTTTCGGAACTCATGTGTTTGACCAGATTTTAGTTTCTGTTATTTTGCAGGTCTTGCTAAAGGGTGCTCATAGTGATGAGTTGAAGAAAGTAAAACATGTGGTCCAGTATGGAGTCTTTGCGGCATATCATTTGGCACTAGAGACTTCATTTCTTGCAGATGAAGGGGCATCCCTTCCTGAACTTCCCCTCAGTTCTCCCATAACTGTAGCTTTACCCGACAAGCCTCCCAGTTTAGATAGGTCCATCTCCACTATTCATCATTTACAAATACGTAATATGCATAGCTCAACTGCACATTCCAACCACTCCTCCACTGAGCGTAAAGCTTGTGCAACAGGATCAGATGCCAGTCCTCGTAGTGGTAGCAAGAGAATATCTGTGAGACCATTGATGCTTGAAAATGGGGGTGTGAAGGAGGTCATAGGTAGGAGAAAGGTTGTCTTTGATGAAACCCAATTGGGCACTGATCAGGTGAGGGAAAACCCAGGTGTATCTCTTGGAGAAACAGCGGCAGGATCCCCTAATCATCAAAGTATTTCTCATTATGAGGAGACACTCTTCAATGATGAGTTCCCACCTTCGCCTTCTGACCAACAGAGCATTCTAGTTTCTCTCTCAACACGTTGTGTGTGGAAAGGGACGATATGTGAGCGTGCCCATCTCTTAAGGATAAAGTACTATGGAAGCTTTGACAAGCCTTTGGGACGTTTCTTACAAGACAACTTATTTGACCAGGTCGAATGCTTATTTGTTTCTCAATTCATTTAGATTTCTGTCCCTTAGTTGAACCCCTCAAATAAATTCTTGTGGACTGAAGCACAATGAACATCAATTCATTTAAATTTAGAAGCAATCTTGTTGACTGGTGCAGAGTTTCCAGTGCTGCTCATGTTCAGCACCAAGTGAAGCACACGTCCACAGCTACACTCACAGACAGGGAAGCCTTACCATCTCTGTTAAGAAGCTTGTTGATTTTCCTCTAAAGGGGGAAGGGGAGGGAAAGATTTGGATGTGGCATAGGTGCTTAAAGTGTCCTAGAACTTTTGGATTCCCCCCAGCTACGAGGAGAGTGGTGATGTCTGATGCTGCATGGGGTTTGTCTTTTGGAAAGTTTTTGGAGCTCAATTTCTCCAATCATGCTGCAGCTAGCAAGGTGGCTAGCTGTGGTCATTCCTTGCATAGGGACTGCCTAAGGTTTTATGGGTATGCTAGCTTGCTCCAACTTTGTTATTGGAGAGATTGGAAAGGGGATAACTACAAATGTAGCTCTGGTTTTTAAAAATTTTGCAAAACCCTAGTGGCATAATTACTCTTTTGAACATGTTTCAATATTGTGCTAATCCACTGCATTGTACGTGTGTGTGTGTGTGTGTGTGAGAGAGAGAGAGAGAGAGAGAGACAGAGAGAGAGAGAGAGGGATGGCCAGGTGATTTGTAGCAAAGGAAAGAAAGGGGGTTTGGCCTGTGGGGAATGTGAAGGATGGGAACCTGTGAGACACTTTGTGGATGAGGAAATAAGTGTATTCTTGTCTTTTTAGATTTTCCTTTGTTTCATTGCATTTCCTTTTCAAAAACCACTCAACTATTATTAGCATGTGCTAGTTTGGTAAAGTACTTCAAAATCAGATCTAATTACTTATTTCTCTGTAATTTTTTTTTCTTTTTTTTTGACAGGCTTACGTGGTTCTCATGTTTGTGTCACAAATGAGCAGGTTTGGCAGCATGATTGCTTGTTTCCGTTATGCATCAATTGATGTTCACTCTGTGCATTTGCCTCCTTCAATAATTGATTTAAGCAACCCCATCCCAGTGGGCTGGATTGAGAAGGAAGTTACTGAGGTTTTGTGATTCTTATTCTTTGTAAATTATTTTCTATTTTTTATCTTGTCAATATCTATATATCGCAGCTGCACTTACCATTTGTTTCTTCTGAATTCAACAATTTGCCTTTCAGCTAAACTTTTATTGTACTTTGTTTGGCCAGAGTTTCTTGGTTCTTAATTTCTCTTTAGAAACCCTAAAACTATTTTCTACACTCCTTGTCTCTTCTCTATTCTAAATTTCTCTAGGAAAGTCTGAAGCATTCTTTTAACAACTGCTATCTATTTTCTATCTTTTCATGTATGGATTCTGTCTATTTCCACACATCCGATTTACATATACAACATATATCACTGTCAAGAGTTAATTTATTATGTTAGCGATTGAAACCTCTGACATATTGATGTAGGAAAATTGGTGGAAACAGTCAACCACAAAACAAGCCAAACAAAAGCATCTATTCAAAGAAACCTATGATTTCTTCCCTAACCTAGCTAGGGTTTCAAATAGCTTGGGGCGTTTCTTTCCTTTTTCATAAATAAAAGTCACATGAATGCCCCATAGGGCGCCACACCTCTATTTTTATTTTGATTGGAGTACAAAAGACTATAATGCCCTTCACCAAAATAAGATTGACTAAATTCTCTTAACTTAAAACAAAAATTTATAATGATAGTTTTGCCCCTTATAAAACAAAGTCTTCCATGAGCACTCTATTTACTTTTCTAAACAATGCCCAAAAATCCTGAAAATATAAAAAGACCCTAGAATCCCTAAAAATCATAAAAACCAAAAATAATAACCCTCAAAGTCCCCAAAAGAAATCATCCTTTTATTTAATAAAAAAATTTAAAAATGAGGTGTTTTCCCTTGTATCAAACTCCCCTGGTTAAAGAGACCTTGTCCTCAACTTTTGAATAAACTAAGATAAATCCTGCACTAAAATCATCATTTTCTTCAAATTGGAGATTGAGCCTTGAATCTGTGACCTTTGGGTTATTGTCCCAATGAAGATAGAAGCATTGCCCATTGAAACATAGCCTTTTGCAATCAATTGATACAGTCGTAAACTCTTATGAGAGCACATCAAGGAAAGGGTCTTTGTATATCAATCAAGTAGTTATGATACATGCGCTTGGTTCAACCCAAGAGAGCACCTTCATGACGAGCACTATATTCGATGACCAAACCGACAACCTCACCTATTGATTCTCCTTAGAGTTCTTCATTTGACTGTGCTCCATAGATATCATCCATCAAATCATTATGAATGATAGGACCCTCATCAAAGATGAGAGCATCCATGAAATCACGACAAACATCAAGGGTTTGGGGAAGAAAATTGCTTTGCAGTTCCCATGACAAACATCGAGGGTTTGGGGAAGAAAATCCCTTTGCAGTTCCTCATCTACTACTTGGGGTGTAATCATGTTGTGTTGAATCACCAAAGCCTCCCCATGGTCATTAAATGTCACTTTTGGTTCTTCTACCTCAAGTTCCTCATCATAAACGGGATCCATAAAAAAATAGCTATTTGTTCTCCTAAAGAAACTCTACATAAAGGTTCACAAATTTTCTATTCCGGCACTAAGAAGAGACATGTCCAACTCCCAAACACTCCAAGCATTTAATGACGCTACTACTTGGGCAATTTGAGCGACTAGAACTGGCCTCAACACTCCTTATATCCTGCAGTTTAGACTGGCCAGCAGGTTGCGATTCCCCCTTTTTCCTCAAAAATCACTGCGACGGTACCACACTGGGCTGCACCTCACCTTAATGATGGGTGCCTCTACTGAGCTTCAACATTAACTGCTATGTTGTAAGCTTCATCTAAAGTCAAGTAACGCTGTAAAACTGCCAAATCTTTTATAGTTGTTCTTTGCCCCCCAATATAGCGAGCTAGGGATTGCTCTTCCCTTTCAACCACATTACCTCATGCCATCAACTGATGAAATTCATTTGTGTACTCATCAACACTTTTTTCTCTTTGCAAAGATTATTTGTTTTATGATAAAGGGACCGTAACTAATAGTCTCTTTGTAGACAATCTCATAATAAAATCAGCAAGAAAACAAGCCAAACACAAGCATTTATTCGAAGAAACCTAGGGTTTTAGGGTTTCTTCCCTAACCCCACTACAGTTTCGAAAGCCTGGGGCTTTTCCTTCCATTATTATGAAATAAAGTCATGTGAATGCCCATAGGGAGCGTCACACCTTTATTTATATTTTAACTAGAGTACAAAAGTCCATAATTCCCTTCACCAAAATAAGATTTTCTAAATAGTCCTAACTTAAAACAAAAATTCATAAAGATAATTTTGCCCCTGATAAAACAAAATATTCCATCAACACTCTAACCACTTTTCTAAACAACTCCAAAAAATCCTAAAAATATGAGAAGACCCTAGAATCCCTAAAAGACTTAAAAACCCTAAAAATAAACCCTTAAAATCCAAAAAAAAAGATACATCCTTGAATTTAATAAAAAAAATTAAAAGAAATGAGGCATTTGCCCATGAATCACGCACATTTGAATGCAACTGTAGAAAGACCCAAATATCCCCTCAGTTTCTTTGTACTTTGATCTGTACTATGTCTCCCTCATTACAAGTCTTGAATAGTTAATTGTTCTTTCCCGTGCATGATCTCCATGTGTTTCGTACAGTACCCACAATCTCTGACTTCTCAGAATATCATAATTTTTTCCTAACTCATAGATTTTGCGATGTTCATAAAATTTGTGAGAGATACGGTTATGCACTGAATTTAATTCCAAAAACTGAAGTTGGTTATGTAAACTGAAATTTAATTTCAGATTTTGCATTTTCTAGGAATCACATAATCTGAAGCTTTTCAAATGGTGCAGGTGGCTGATAGAGCAGATATCCTTTTCAGTGAAGTATCTAATTTGCTACATCAAATTGGTCATAAAGTTTCAAACTCAGGAACCATTTGCAATAGTGTTAAGATGCTTGAATTGAGAAGGCATGTTGCAGAACTTAAATTTGTGCTTCAGAAAGAGAAGGCTGAATTTGAAGTGAGTAGCAATTCACAAGAATAAAATCTCCTGCTGGTTCACAGGAGCACTCTACATAACTAAAGAGAAAAAATTTGAACAAAATAAAATCTCCTGCTGGTTAACAGGAGCACTCTACATAACTAAAGAGAAAAATTTTGAACAGGTAGATTTTTATTTAGGGGAAAATATACTATAAATCTAGGGGATTATAAAATATCTTAGACATCAGGTCATCGCCATTCAATGAAATTATGAGAGGTAATGGAGAGAGAGAGTGAGAGCCACCATTAGGGTCATGTCCTGTTGCATCCCAATCTCTCCACCCTCCATCATTTTATTGGATGGTGATGACCCTAGTAAACTATTGCTTTCTATAATTAACTTTGTATAATACTCATTCTTGTTAGCACATGGTTTGGCATAGCATTTTCTTTTTTATACTCAGCTTTCTCCTATAACATTCATGTGTTCATATCATATGGAAACAGGAGTTCCTTAACAATGCAATGAAGAAAGATCTTCAGCAGGGACACCCAGTTGCTGACATATTGGAAATCAACAAACTGAGACGGAAATTGATATTTCAGTCTTATGCTTGGGACCATCACTTGCTTTTCCTAAATGTATCAATCAACAAGGACTCTTCCTTGTGTAGTTCAGTTCATGGTCTGTCAGTAGAGCTTAATAGTTCCTTAGCATATGAGAAAGAGAAGAAAGGATGGGCAAAGGGGACTCATGGAATGGATAAGGATGACGATGAAATGGACAGCTTGGCACCTTTAGATCTAAAACATAGTTTGATTGTAACAAATGGAAATTTTATGAACACTCACTATACACATATGGGGGAGGTAGTGGTATCTAATGACTGTAAATTACTTTATGATGGGAATGTTGACAGTGGTCGTTTACAGTTTCCAAATGTGGAAGTTTTTTGTACGAAGTCAGATGATTTTGAGAAAGAAGCTAGCTTCCAGGATTATGTGACAGAGAGCCATGGACTTGGTATGGATACCATTCCAGAGGGAGTTTTGCTTGCTGAGATTACAGGATCTTGGGACATTCCAGATGTTCAGGAATCTAATCTAGGAGATGGAGAGCTTTCAATTATGGAAAGCCTTTCTCATGCCCTAGATGTGGTTCTAGGAGGTAACTCTAATACAGTAGCTGCACAATGTAACCCAGCAATGGAGTCCAAAGTAGTCCGCACTGTGGAAGAACAAGCTGGGCTTGATCTGGTCCAGGCCTGCGAGCCCACATCACCAGTCAATGGGATTGATGCTAGGATGAGCTCAAACTCCCCTTTCCTCAACTTCTATAATGCTTACAGTAAGAATATAGTCTCTGTTGGTGAATACAATCTATCCCATGTGTCACCCCTTTATGGGCCGGAACACCAAGGTGGCGCGAGGCTTCTTCTTCCATTAGGCATGAATGATGCAGTTATCCCCATTTATGATGATGAACCCACAAGCATGATAGCCTATGCTCTTGTCTCTTCAGACTATCATTCCCAGATAAGCAATGAGGGCGAGAGGCCTAGAGAGAGAGAGATGGGTGGTTTGTCTCTCACTTCTTCCTTTTCTGAGTTCTCATCCTTTATACCTTCTCTCCATTCCTTTGAAGGGTCATTTGAGTTCATGGCTGAGAATGTGAGCAGGGATAGAAGCTCCAGTTCTCTTGAAGATATGTCTATTTCCAGTAGTAGAAGCTCTCCTCTTGTAGAGCACTGTAAAGGGGTGCATGTTAGGGTTTGTTTCAAAGACGAGAGCTCACTGGGCACAGTGAAGTACATAGTCACCTGTTATCATGCAAAACAGTTCGATGCTTTGAGAAGGAGGTGTTGCCCATCTGAGATGGAGTATGTGGCTTCGATCAGTCGGTGCAAGAAATGGGGTGCTCAGGGTGGGAAGAGCAAGGTGTTCTTTGCTAAGACTCTGGATGATAGATTCATAGTTAAACAAGTGACAAAAACAGAGCTTGAGTCTTTCATAAAATTCGCGCCAGAGTACTTTAAGTACCTCTCTAACTCCATGACCACTGGTTGCCCCACCTCTCTGGCTAAGATTCTTGGTATATATCAGGTACCTATGCTTTTCTCCTCTTCCTTGCGTGCATCTTGGGAGTTGGGTTCTGTTTGAAAGCATCCAAAAGGTTGTAATTTGATCACTTTGATTGGTTCATTTCTTTATTATTGAGTAATCAGAACTAAATTTTGCAGTTTTATATATTTTCCTTGTGCTAAAATTTGGCTACATATATTGAGAGCTGAACTTGCATAACCAGTAACTGATCATCACGGGAAGGACTCCATACTACCATTGTGAATGTTCAACACTAGATTGCATCTGGTTCTTATTTATTTTCGTTGTTTTATAGGCTTTCTGAAGCAATGCAATTACACTAATTAAGTTGGGTAAACCGGTACATACACACATTATTTTCAAATAAACAATATAAAGGATTTATAGAAAACTGAGCAAAGATGGGGTTGTTTGTTTGCGTATAGGTTTATTTTGCAGCTGATGTAAATTTTATTTCAAATCACCAAAACTGCTTGACTAATGGTTATGTTCTCTCTCTCTCTCTGTCTCTCTCTCTCATCTCTTTCTCTTTTTGAACAATTTTTTTTAAAAAAATTTAACGATAAATCTCTCTCTCTCTCTCTCAAACGTCCTTATGGAAGGTTACTTCGAAGCACCCGAGAGGAGGTAAGGAGGTGAGGATGGACCTAATGATCATGGAAAACCTTACACGTGGACGGAAGCTTACTCGTCTCTATGACTTGAAAGGATCCTGTAGGTCACGATACAATCCTGATTCCAGTGGGACAAACAAGGTTCTGCTGGACCAGAACCTGATTGAGGACATGCCAACCTCTCCAATTTTTGTTGGGAACAAAGCCAAACGGTTGTTAGAGAGAGCTGTATGGAATGACACTTCGTTCCTCGCGGTCAGTATACTCAAGACTCATATTAATTGTTCTCCTCCCCAACATTCCCAACCTCTTCCCCTTCCTCCAAACAAAAACTTCTCTCTCTCCCCCCTGCCTCCCCCTCCACCTCCCCCTCCCCCTCCCCCTCCCAGTGTGTCCATGGCCATAATTACTCGGTGCATGTTCTTCTTCAAATGATTTTACCTCTCTTTCTCTTTCTCTCTCTCTTTTTCTCTCTCCTGTTTCTATTATTACTTAACGCCTTTTTCCTGCAATATTTTCAATAGTCGATCTATGTGATGGACTATTCTTTACTCGTTGGCGTCGACGAGGAGAAGCACGAATTGGTAGTTGGAATTATTGATTTTATGAGGCAGTATACATGGGATAAGCACTTGGAGACTTGGGTTAAAGCGTCTGGGATTCTTGGTGGCCCAAAAAATGTGTCCCCAACTGTCGTATCTCCCATGCAATACAAGAAGCGATTTCGTAAGGCCATGTCCACGTATTTTCTCATGGTACCAGATCAGTGGTCCCCACTTACCATCTTGCCTGCCCTCTCAAGATCGAATGGGGATGGTTCCTAATGCTTAAAATTGTGGGTAAGTCAAGCTCGACAAATGATGGGCTCTAGTTGTTTTGAAATGGGTAGTTGCTACTTCTATTCATGCAGAATCTAAAGCCAATATCACAAGCCTTGTTCCTTGTCATTTGGAAGCTGAACTCTGATGATGGTTTGTTTTATTCCCAACCTATCAGGCCCGATGTAATTAGTTTCAACCTCTTGTGCCTCATGCGATAACAACTGGAAGGCAAAGGCAGTTTTAATTTTCATCTTGTTTTGTGGCGGTCAACTGTGAAGTGTGAGTTAAATCTTGGACATTAGTGATCAGATCAGAGCTAACTCTCATGCCAAACACTCAATTCTTTTTTACTGAGATCAAGGGATTTATGATCAAGGGATTTATGAATGATGCTACCTTATAATGTAGAACTACGGATTCCCCTTAAAAATCCATCGGAAAAGGTAATTTAATTGTTGAAAATCCCTTTGATTGATCATCTCGACATCGAGATGTATGACAATGAAAAATAAAAAGATTTCAAGTCTCAGATATAGCGCATTTTACAACATATTATCTACACCGTCCATTTTCAAGATTTTTATGTGTTTATAGACCTACTTGATTTTAACCACTTTTGAAATTTAAAATTTTATAATTAGATATAAAAATAGATTTTAAGATAATCCTAAGAACATTTTACATCAAAATTATATATCACGATAAAATTTGAAGGTGCACCTTACCTCTACACCTACGGTTGCATCGGTATGCAAACTGCACCCATAGAAGTGATGGTGTGCATGAAAGATGAATTGAAGATGATGCTATGATGGTGGGTGGTACTACGCCGTCCTTTGACCAGTTAACGACCTCAGATTTTGAATTGCTGGGAATAATATTTATGGTAGAAGAGTTCAGGCACTTCGCTTGAAGGCTTGGTTTGATGTAGATTGCCAAGGTTCGAATTCCAGCATTCCTCTGGCCATCTAACCAAGAAAAATCAAATATGAACAAAGACTGGACAAAACATAAAGAAATAAAAAGTGAGAAAAGCTAGTTTGCAATTAATAGGAAATGAACTAACATAAAAATAGTGTGAACAGATTTAACGACATTTGAGAATAACTCGAATACAAATATAAGTTTGAATATTATATGCCTTTATTTTTATTTTTTTGGATTCTCACCCTCAACTTTTGTTTGAACATGTTATACAACAGGAAGTTCTATCGATTGTGAGGGTGGTTGAATTTTCTTACCATGAATGAAAATACCTCGAAATTGTCTGTCTAGCAGCCATTTTGAAACTAAATGAAAGAAAAAACAAACTAAAAACATACAATTCCGCCACGACTCTGGGCCAGTCCTAAGATTTGACACCATTTTGAAACTAAATGAAAGAAAAGAAACTAAAAACATAGAAATCCGCCGTGACTCTGGGCTAGTCCTAAGATTTGACAAGGATCAGAGCAACCAATTTCAGCAAAGCCGCCCATACGGTTTCTGTTTTTTTTCCTGTAAATTAGCAGGAGTTAGGCAGAAGCTGTCATCACAAATTTGAGTAGGCCAAGGGTGTCACAATCAAGAGATGCTCGGTTCAATTTCAACTTTAACAGTTTAACCACAATGGAAAATATGTGTCTACATATATACATATATATTTTGAAGTGTAGTGAATATATATCTTCATAATTTATTACATTAACAGAATTTGTATAGTGAGTCGGATTCGGCTGTACCAGATGATTCCCCTACATCTTTTAGTTTTACTCATGGAAACAGCAGACCATGAAAATTGTAAGTACATGTTACAAGGTATCTTGAGATTTGAGGCAAACCAACTCATGGTATGAATAGAGTGCTTGCATGTTGGGATACTTCCAGTTCATTAGTTCTTGAGTGCGTATGAGTGTACTGCCGTGGGAGCACGCTGTACACTTGCTGCTTTGAGCAAAAACCTGCTTATGAAGAATTTCTTAATCTGAAATTTCTAGAAATTGCTTTGGAATCACCAAAGGAATATTTTGAGAAATTGCTTTAGAATCACCAAAGAAATATTTTGCAAAAACTTAATTTTAAGTTTTTAAACACTTGATCTCGCCATCCAAATATAGGAAAAAGTTTATATAAGGTTGCAATTTTAAAATGTGGAATTACATATGCACTTCAAAAATCCATCAAAAAATTTATTTTAATGTTGAAAAAACTTTTAATTGGTCATCTCGACATCGAGATGTATGAATATAAAAAGAAAAAAATTTGAGTCCCAAAAATAGTACATCTTGCAATAAATTATCTAGACCGTCTAGTATCAAGATTTTCATATGTTTATAGATCTACTTGATTTTAACCATTTTTGGAGTTCAAAATTTATAATCATATATAAAAATAGATTTTGAGATAATCCTAATATATTTTTTATCAAATTGACATGCTTTGACACAATTTGGAGGTACGCCTTAATTGGATTGTTTAAAAACCACACCCAATATATAATGGACTTTATTTAATTTTAGGGTGCAGTTCATAAGGCTCTAAACAATCAAAATAAAGCGCTTTTTCAAATAGTGTCGAGAAATGTAGTTTCAATACTGGAAATCTTTGTGATAGCCTTAAAATATAATTTTATTTTTAATTATAAAATTTAAATCTTCAAAAATTGTGTAGATCAAGGAGATCTATGAAAACTTCAAAATCTTGATAATTGACAGTCCAATAATGCATTACAAGGTGCACTATTTTCAAAACTCGAATTCTATTTTTTTTTCATGTCCATGCATTTTGATGACGAGATGATCAATTTGAGGATATTTAGGAATCAAAACTACCTCTTCTAATGAAAATTTTGAGATGGACTCTAATTTGATTGTTTAGACTTTAGAGCCTCGGCTCTATATAAACTTCTTTCCCTATTTTATGACAATACTTTTTATGGAGTGCGTACATTTTATTTCTTCTTTTAAGGTTGGTCACTAGGGTCTCAAAACTACTCCTAAACAGGGCTTTACCCATGGGAAGTGAACGTGAGCTATGCTCCTGGGGGAGTATATAATATTTCTTACTGTTTCCGGATGTAAATGAAACATAATTTAGCGGTTATAAACTCTTTTTTTATTTTTTTTATGTGAATGTTAATTTTACAGCTATAAGATTTTAAGGGAAAATATCTTGTTATTATTTATATTTAATTTCTATATCTCATCGGACTCAAGAATTGAAAATATTATTTGCAAGCAAAAGGACTCAATGTTTTCTATCTTTCAAACCCCTAAATCCTTTTGACCATGTATTATTGACCTCAACAACTTATGAAATGACTCTATCGCTCTCTCTAAAACTCTATCTCTCTCACATTATCATCATCTCTCTCTCACTCAAAACTCCATCTCTCTCTAAAACCCAAACTCCATCTCTCTCTCACACATCATCGTCTCTTTCTCTCAAAACTCCATCTCTCTCCCTAAAACTCAAACTCTATCTCTCTCTAAAACCCAAACTCCATCTCTCTCCCACACATAAGAAGGTGTGCGCGTGTTCGAGCTCAAGCTAATCCCCTTGGCTGATAAACTCATCGAGAAGCAAAAAGAGAGAAATGGAGTTTTAGAGAGAAGGAGATGGAGTTTGAATAAGGTGTCATTTTAGTATTTGTTTGGGTCAAAAATTTATGATCAAAGAGATCCAAGGGGTTCTAAGATAGAAAATATTGAGACTTTTTGCTTACAAGTAATATTTTCAATTCTTGAATCAAGGAGATATTTTCCCAAGATTTTAATTGTGAGCATGTACACCAGCTCCCTCGAGAGCATAGTTTACTTCTACTTCATGTCTTAAAAGACCTACCTGGGAGGATTTTTTATCTGAATTTTGAGAACCATTTAAGAACTATTAGATGATAATTCTAAAAAAAAAAATTGAAATTTGTTGAGTTCTCTAACACAGATCCTACCATCTAAAAATTAGATGGTCTCTATTCAATATCAAGACATTAATTTTTTTAAAATAATAATTATGCATAATAATTATTTATTTATTTATTGAGGTTCATCAATGGATTGAAGTGGTTAGATCCTCAAAATTGAGGATCCTAAAATTAATTTTAGGTAAGGTTTTATAGGATGGAGTAAATGGACATTCTACTCCCGCGGGAGAAAGAGTTGGCTTCAACTATTAGACTATACTATGATTATCATTTGTGCATTTCCCAATGTCCTTTTCGTTACTTTATTTTTAAAAAATATATGAAAGGACTGGGTTAAGAGCCCAATACTTTCACCAATACATTTGTTACCCTTGCCATTTTCTTTCCTTGATTTCGCCCATGACAGAAGATGTTGTGTAATCCCTATGCCATAATTTAGATGGAACTCATCATTCTCTTGAATTTTTTCCATACAAAGCATGCAACATAACCACAAATTCAAATATAAGTCGCCCTTGTGATATGCCCCTTTGACAGGTTAATTTAGGGGTGGCAATGCATAGGACCGGGCCCAACTAGACCCGGATTTAATAAGACCCTATTCAAAATTAAAATATCTATGTATTGAACTTAATGAGTGCGGTTTGTATAGAGCCGAGGCTCTAAACAATCAAATTAAAACCCACTTTCAAATATTGTCTAGAAATGTGGTATCAATATTAGAAATTTTTGACTGGCCTTAAAAATATATATTTATCTTTAATTGTAAAATTTAAAGCTTCAAAATTAGTGTAGATTGAACAGATATATGAAAACTTGAATAACTTCAAAATTGACGGTCCAAAAATGCATTACAAGATACACTATTTTCAAAACTTGAAATCCATTTTTTCTCAAGTCCATGCATCTTGATGTCGAAATGATCAATTTGAGGATATTTGGGCATCAAAACAACCTCTTCGAATGAAATTTTTGAGGTAGGCTCTAATTTGATTGTTTAGTGCCTAGGCTCTATATAAACTTTTCTCTTAACTATTTAAATATATTTCATATAAATATGACTTGGCCCAAACCTTGAACTAGACCTGGATCCGGACACAAACCCAAATAGTGTTCAAGTCCAAAATTTGGACCGAAAACATAATAGTGTTCAAGTCCAAAGTTTAGACTGGGACCCAACCTGCCCGGTCCAATTTTTGAACCCATTCCTAAACCCAGATTGGATCTACCCGTTGTTCCTAGTCCAGGTCCATTGTCACCTCTAACTGGTTTCTCAAGTGATGACGATTGTAAAGGGAATGCTAGTGTCATGTGATATGTGATTGGACAGCTTCAGCTTTTATCTTCTCAACTCAATTTCCACCAAACCCACCACTGGTTTTCGTTCCTTTATTTATGGGTGGGTAAGTTGGATTCAAACACTGAAGATGGTAAAAAATAAGTCAAGAGCACAAGCTAATGGAATTGCACGCCTCACAATCTTTCTCACAAAAGTGTGGATAAAAAACCCTAAAATTTGACTGGAGAAGTATTTT